CTTACCAGATAATACAATTCATGTTGTGGATTGCAAGATTTTATAAATTCGATGTGACAAAATTTAATTATTCAAATTGCGCCCATGAGCAGTGTGCTTCCCCTCCCTCTAGCAGCAGTGGCTGAGCTACAGGTATGTGAAGGGAAAGGGGCATCTTTTTTGACATCTGAACAGTGCTTTGCAATGTGCTGGGGATGTTTGAGATCATAGGGAGTATTTGGGAAAAGAAGATGAGCTAAACCTTTCAGTAAGCAACAAACATATTAAAGCCCAACTCCAACTAACACCTAATAGGTAGTTTCTCTTTTTCTTTTGGAACAAGGTGTAAAGTAGAACTGATAAGAGTACAGGGGGGTTTTAAACCCCTTTTTGCCATCTGGATCCCACTGGGGAGCACTTCCTGTCTGATAGCCACAACAGCAGGTGAGAGGTAATCCCTCCAAAGTAAGGAAATCCCTGGTGGTCTGCAGGGTCACCAGAACTAGTGTCACCATTGGAAGATTTCACATATATTCCTGTTCTGGTGACAACCCAACCAGGAAAAATAGAGATGGTGAATCTTCCTAATGGGGACACAGACAACAATAAAAACCTGACAGGTGTTCTAATCCCTCTCCACTCTATCCAAAACTAAAAAATAAATTGTGGCTTTAGTTGCACTTTTAACCATATGAATAAAAGTTCACAGTTGTAAGCACTCCTATTAGTATACAGGTAATAGTTTTCCCCATCTCTTTTTTTCCTGGACAGCTTGGTCTGCATGTAAATGTGGCGAAAAATAAAAGTAAAGGGGTTTCATATTAAATACAATCATTATAAGTATTAACCACATACATTTACCAGAATACCATATTTTTTTAAACTTTAGTGGCCCTTTAAGTTGAAAACTGAAACAATAACACAAAAGAGCTACTCATTGAAAGTGCACTGTACTTTCCCTTACAAACACCACTGAACTAGAAGATTTAAAATAGATAACCATTGCTCATATAGTAGATGACCACAAAGTACATGATCTTCATTTGGCTGAATACTATCTAGTTGCTTGTAATTGAGGGCTGGCTTGCTTTATACCAGATGACTTGTTTTTTTTAAGCCATAAAAGGGGATTTCTGGTTGTCCGATGTACCTTTTAAATGCCATATACGTATAGCTGCAAACGCTTTACATATGTAACTCTTTGGTCTTTTATTTATTACAGCGAGAGTAATGTTCAAAGGATTGAAACCTATTACTATAATAAGTCTCTGCAGTAGTAAAACTTGTAATATGATTGGATGCTACTTACTGCTACTTATTTCATAACAGCCGTAATCTATTATACATAGGGCATAAATGGTAATTTTGATAACTTTTATCAAATGCATCTTTTTGCTTAAGCCACACCAAGTCACAAAGTGGCAAGCTAACTACACACTTAGCACTTATGCACAAAACAAACATGCTTGTTATATTTTCTTTGAATGTACACCGATCAGCCATAACATTATGACCATCCGCCTAATATTGAGTAGGTCCTCCTTTTGTCGCCACAACAGCCAGGTATGCAAAACTTGCATCCAGCCATCCACATGATGTAAAAGAAAAGCGATTCATCAGACCAGGCCACCTTTTTCCATTGCTCTATGGTCCAGTTCTGATGCTCGCATGCCCATTGTAGGCACGTTCTGGCAGTGGACACGGGTCAGCATGGGCACTCTGACCGGTAGTGGCAGCACCATACACAACAAACTGAGATGCAATCTGTGTTCAGATACCTTTCTATCTGAAACAGCATTAACTTTTTCAGCAATTTGAGCTACAGTAGCTCTTCTATTGGATCGGACTATACGGGCAAGTCTTCACTCCCCTCATGCATCATTGAGCCTTGTCTGTCCATGAACCTGTCGTTGATTCTTCCTTGGATAATTTTTGGTAGGTCCTGACCACTGCAAACCGGGAACATCCAACAAGAACTGCAGTTTTGGAGTTGCTTTGACCCAGTTGTCTAGCCATCCCAATTTGGCCCTTGTCGCTCAAATCCTTACACCCATTTATAAATAGACCACTTAAAGTATATGTAAACCCAACTTGTCTACACACTTATTTTATAAACAGTCTCTGTTAATGATTGTACTGTGCGAATGGATGTACAAATGAATGTTCCTGTTATATTTTCTTTATATGTATTTTTCAGTGTCGTTTTTAATACTGCTTTATGGCCAGTAGATGGGGTTGAGGAACATAGGAAATAAGAACATTCATTTTGTGCATCCATTTGCATAGAATGAACATTCACCGAGATTCGCAGGGCAATGGCTCTGCAAAGTGTTTATAAACCCCTTAAATTATATGCAAATCCAGTGACTAAAATCTGATATAAGCTTAAACATGTAGCTTCAAAGTTCATTTCCAATATTTTTTAATCTGCTACTTACACTAAATTAATATCTGGTGATTCCATGACAAAGATCCTTGTTCAGGCAGTTTCTGTTACATTTTTAAACGTACTGAGCATTGTCACCCTGTAAGAGGTACTGCCTGGACAAGGACCTTTATTACAATCTTCTAAAAACCGTGTTCCTGCATTGTCAGTCTGTCAAATGGGCTTCTAATAGGAACTACAAGTAGCCATTCAAACATTCATTACATGGGAAATGCCATGCAGCAGTTGTAGAAGTGCATGTAGACAGAAAATGTCTGCAGGAGATCAGCAGAGTTGAGACTGTAAAACAAATGAGAAAATTAAACCCACTGACCACCAATGTTCTTTTTTTTAAATGGTGAAAAATGTATATTGCTGTTGCTAGGTTGTCTTTCCTTGTTGGTAGGTTTATAATCCTTAGCTTCTTGTGGACGTTAATGAGCTGAGGCCTATAAATCACTTAACAGCCTCCCTTTCTAAGTAAGGGAAGACTTTAATTCTTTCCTGGAATACCTCTGTAATCCATAAATGTTGTGTATTTTTATCGTATTCCAATGTTCCTGATTAATAATATTATATGAATTGGTTAAAGTTTAACTTTCGGAAACATAACAAAATACATTATTTATTTGGTCATGAACACTAACGCAGCAGTTTTTATTCTTTTGATGCCCCCTGTAACATGATTTTATTAGCTAATGATCCTGACAGTAAATGCATTATTTGTCCACTGTAACAAGCCAAGCTATCTTGTGAAAAGGACACTTACTGGGTTGTTGCTGTAACTGCATAAAAAGTGATAGTTGGAATTAAGCTTTAATGTGTTCATTATTTACTTACAGTTCATTTAAAAACTACATGCCCATCAATCTCCATTAGATCTACCAACCAATATGTAGTGCGGGGGTGAGCAACTCCAGCCCTCTAGCTGTTCTTTACCTACAAATCCCAACATGCCTCTGCCTCCTGCGGTGATGCCTTTAAATGCCTCATGGGACTTGTAGCTCCACAAGAGTTAAAGGGTTGTAGTTGCCCACCCCTGATGTAGTGTAAGGACCTGCCTGATTGAATACAATTACATTGATTGGATGTATAAGGTAGGTCCTCATATTACATCATTTTGGTAAATCTAACATTGATTGTACAGAGATTGTAATGCATGTGGTGACACTAAGTCTACCTTGTCTACAGGGTGCCAACTCAACTGCACTATTTCAGTGAAGAAACAACAGTGTTATTGCCCTGTTAAAGGAATAGGAAAAATAACAGATCTACTGGCAGTATCAACAGGTAATAAAACTATGTTAAGCCCCATTCACAACCGGAAGTGTTTCAGTGCGGTTTCAGCACTGAAACGCAATTTAAAACGCCCAAAATTGCACTGATCAGTCCATTTTCATTGAAATCTATGCGGAAACCGCGCTGATTAGCGTGAAAAAAAGTAGCTCAGGCAGCATCTTTGGCGGCAGGTGGTTCAGATCGCACGGAGCCACACTGTTGCATGAACGGTCCCCATAGGAATGTATGGGATTGTTCATGTCGGCGGTTCAGCACGGACGAATCCGCGTGACCGAACTGCCCTGGTGTGAACTGGGTCTCACAGGGATCTCAGAAAAACAAAAAATCGCTGTTATTGCTAGTGACTGCATCCAATATGTTATTTATATTATGGTATGGGTTATGTAAACAACCACATTTATTTAAAGATACATAACAAAACAAAAGCAAAATATATTTGTAAAGCTAAAATCACAGTGTTAGCCCCCCATTCATACCTGAGCAATTGGTCGCATGTTTTCTGACGTGTGACAATGCTCGACATGAAGATTCCCATTACATTCAATGGTGCCAGTGGATACCTGAGCATCGTGCTGCCACGTCATGCAAAAAAGTACATGAGCTTTTTTCAGGCAGAATCGTGCGTTTTTGGAGCCCATAGATTTAAATGGGTGCAACTGAAAACGCATGACAAGCATTTTAGCACATATGTGCACCTAACAAATGGTTCCCTTTTCCTAGCGACCTCAAGTGTGTGAAATAAAAATGGAGTATACAGGTGCGTCCTTGCTGGATGTGGAGACTTTCGTCTGCCGGGTGAAATCCTACGAGAACCTCGACAACCGGCGCAGCGCAACTGTTTGTCAAAATGCATTAGGGTGCCATTTAGAATGAATGGCACCCCATCAAACTATAACAGGTAGTGTTCCCACAACGCAATAATGTAAACGGGGCCAGATTGTCACAGATGATACTGCTTTCCATTGGCCAACACTAATGTCCGAAGCTTGAAACTACATGAACACACAAAAAAGCTTTAAAAATGCCCCGAAACATTCACGCTCTAGTGTCAATGGACTGCTGTGTACAATCTCCATTCTGTAACCTTGTATTTAGATGAATCTGTCATTATGATGACACACCTCACATTCCTCTGGCAGTAATCATCTGACAGTAACAATGTTAATTACTAGTTTTATCACAACCTATACAGAACTGTACACCTTTCATACAATGCAGAAACACACTCATTCATAACCCTAATTTAGATCATCACTTTAATATTATTTTTAAAAAGATAAAAAATAAATAAACCTACCAGGTATGGCTAAGTTGGATAGAGGGAATGTACTCAGACACACTGGCAGAGTGCCCATCCAGTCTTCATAGCTTTTCACAGCCATTATTTCTTCCTCCTGGTGCCTTTTAGATGTCTAAAGCCCTTGAATCCAAGGTCAAGTCTATTTGTGTTGATATTCCAGCATTTCTGTTATAGTAGAATGCAGATCTATACAGATAGCTGGAGCTCAGCTCTCTGACAGCAGCATTTGCTTCCGCATAGTCAGCACCAGAGACAGCTCTGAGCGTGACTGCACAGCTAAGCGACTTATGTCTCCTTGCTGAGTAAGCTGGGCTGTACCTCTCATCAAGCGTGTCACAAAGATCTGACATCATGAGGCTTGATTGACGGCACGCCACCTTGTGGTAAAACAAGCTCCATCCCTATGTCAGCATGTTTATTTCAGCCATTACAATGGGATCTTTTTAACCCATTTACATTGTTTTTTTGTTTATTTAACCACTTGAAGACCGGGGTGTTAAACCCCCTTCCTGTCCAGGCCATTTTTCAGTATTCAGTGCTGCAGTACGTTAACTGACATTTATTCCGTCATGCAATGATGTACTGAAATTAATTTTATACCCTTTTTTGGGGACACATAGATCTTTCTTTTGGGGGTATTTAATCACCACAGGGGGTTTTATTTTTTACTATGCAACAAAAAAAATTATAGAACATTTTGAAAAAAAACGTGTTTCCCTAGGACATGTAATGAAACATTTATTATCACCCCAATTTTTTAGTAAAATATAAAAGACAGGGTCACGGCGGGTAAAAAGACACCAAATATGTCAAGCCTTAAAATTGCACGCGCCTGCAAAATCGCTAAAAACTACCACACCCAAAATTGGCCATAGGCAACGCTTTAAAAGCTTTTACAGCTCATCAGTTTAGTGTTATCAGTGATTAATGGCCTTAGAATTATTGCTCTCACTCCGGCGTTCACAGTGATATGTAATATGGGTGGCACAATGGGCGCAATCGTAGTAGGCGCACCCAGTGCATGTTTGCATGTGTATGTGGGGGCAGGGGACTTTTGTAAAAACTTTTTTTTTTGTACACTTAACTTTATTGCTATCACATAGGGATATCCCTATGTGATAGCATACAAGATGAAGAAAAAAACCCACATATTCTCCCAGTCTGTTGGTAACTGACCCTATACCATTAACTATTGGTCGTCCAGGCGGTTTTACTTGGTCCTTGTGAATCTTCGGCAAATAATAAAGGGGATACGACATTGAGATGGCACTTCAGTGGAGTCGGAAGGACGGGAGCTGTATTGCATTTGCTGTGCTCTATTAGATTGAGGGAATTCCCTGTGGGAATCGTATATGCTGGCTTTCTCTTGCCATTTAGCTAATAAATTTGACATTGTTGGATGGTATGCACTATTTGTCTTCTGCTTTATTTCTTTTCGATATGATGAGCGTATCTACGACCTGACAGGATCTATTTTACTCCGATACTACGGTTTTTATCTAATAAATTTTAAAATTTTACTCCCTCCCCCTCCTAAGAAGGGAAAACGCTCTTGAGACCTACTATGTGGGTCCACAGACCCAGATGAGCACTCCTTTGTAATTTGTGCATTCACTAGGTGGAGGTGGAGGATTATCAAACAGTCTGTTGTCCTGCACACTATAAAGTCTGTTTCATAGGACTGCTCATGTTGTTTGTACACATTGCATCGCATTGTTTGATTCGTTATCTGCCCCGCATCGTTTGATTCTTTTTGGACTTTATTTCACTGTGCATGTTATGTGGTTTGAGTTCAGGCTATAATCATTGTTTTATATTTCACTGTTTATATTTGATTGTTTCTTCAGCTCGCCACATTATTGCATGTATAAAAACACTGACTAGCTGCTCAGGCAGGCATTTCCAATATAATATAACGTTTACATTAGGGATGTCCTGATACCACTTTTTCAAGACCAAGTACAAGTACTTCCCCTCATGTACTTGCCGATACCAATTACTGATACTTTTTCTTAAAGGGACAGGTGACTTTTTTTTTTAAAACAATACAGACTAATGATTTTAGGCCAATTTCTTTATGATTACAAAGAACTTTAATTTAAGACTGTTTTAAACATTTGTATTTGCTTTCACAGAGCTGTAGTAAAACTACAAATCCGATCATGCATCTGCCTCTGGGATCATTTAACCCATTCATGTTAGAAGTGGAACTCTATTGCTGCAGTGTACTGGAAGTGTGTACTGTGGATCATTTAACCTGGTACACACTTCCAGTACACTGCAGTAATAGAGTTACAATTCACCCCTGCTAACATGAATAGGTGTTCATGCTGCAGTGTACTGGAAGGGTGTGCTGTATATGTAGTTGTACTATGGATCATGATTTAACCTATTCATGTTAGCAGGGGAGAATTGTAACTCTATTGCTGCAGTGTACTCTATATGTAGTACATGTACAGTACACATTTCCAATACACTGCAGGCAATAGATTCTTCTTATTCACACTCGCAATTCTAAACTTCCCACATCACCCCAGGCACTCACTTACTGGTCGATGAAGGTGCCTCCCGATGTGCCTCGCAGGTGAGGTCGTAGTCGGCGCTGGGTAGGAGAGCAGCGGCGCGTAAGCGCTTGTCTGGTGGGATGAGCTCCAGGTGGGGTCCTAATTTAGCTGGCCGGCAACTGTCCAGAGGACCTCCACATGCACGGCACCTCTGGGCAGCCTAAAGTTAAAGAAGAAGAAAAAAAAGAAAAACATAGCGCAAGCATCGGCGCTATGTATCGGGGCATTTTTACAAGTACTTGTCCTGTATCAGTCCCGATACCAGTATCGGGACATCCCTAGCTTACACTATTTTTCTCTTACTCCCAAAGCATACTGTACTCTTTCAAGTCACTAGGCTTTCTCACTTCTTCATAGCCGTTTGGATTTGGAAAAAAAGGCTGTATAACTGTAAAACCTAAAAGCTTCACATTTCTATTGTACTAAATATTGTTCAATTTATACTTTAGTATAAAATAAATTGTTAGTGAAAAGGTGTGCCAGGTTCCTGATTTGAGTAGCGACATACAGATCTCCAACTCAGTTTTCAGTTATCCTCCCATCAATTTTGATTAATTTATTCAGAGCAAACAAATTTTACAACCCCAAGTAAAGTGTGGGCATACAAGAGCCCCAACAATAAAATCTTATAGCCGAACTCCAGGCAAAAAGTTAAATAAACATATGAAATAAACATAGGGCTGCAGCTAACCATTATTTTCATTATTGATTAGTTGCCCGATTATTTTTTCAACTAATTGATTGGTTGCATTAAAAAAATCTCTCTCTCTCTCATAGTTACGAACTATTCTCAAATCGATTTCATCGATTAGTTGTTTCAGCCCTAGATGCTATGATATATGATTTACATATATCATAGCAATGATTTGCATTTCTGTCCATCCAGTTCTGAAATTGTCACAGCCCTTTCTGGCAGGGCAGGAGATCTGATTTTTTTCTGCTGCACTCAAGTATAACGTAAAGGTCTTGTCCCGGCCCCCAGCCTGTGACTGGACAGTGGAGATGGCGCAAACTGATGCTTTTCTCTCTGCTATTTTCCATCAGCATTGCTCCATGGTAACACATAAGCACTGCAGCACACCTGAATGGCTTCTTGTGCTGCTTTTCCCTCTCCTAGTCTGAGCTCTGCTCTATAGGGACATGCAAGAGGCCAATAAGTCAAGATCAAGTAGTTACACTGCATCCCATTTAAAAAATATATTTAATGATGTGTCGACGAATACAGTGCTCCAATATTCCGTCTTTTGTATCTGCTTGGAGTTCAGCTTTAACCTCAATTGTGCAAAGCAGTTTATTTTTTAATATTGATCTGTAGCTCACAATAGAAATCTGACAAAGTGTGCTAATATCTCCACAATTTGTGCTAGACCTAGGATTGTTTTCCCAATAAAGCAGATTCCTAATTTTATAAAGCCAGTGGAATCTAAATTATGTTCAGAATAAAACAATGTTACATAAAAAAAGGTTAAATATGTTGTATTGAATGAACACGTTTAGTAAATGTCTCTCATGGATAAAAACATACTACCCAAAGTGTGGATATATATTATTTTATTTTTTGCTATAAACATAATAAGCATTAGTGCTGACGTGATTGCAAGCAAGTCTGTACAATTCAAAAAATTCACATTTACTAAAGAAATCTACCGTAGGAAAATTGGGGTAGTATAAAAAGACACTGTAAATACTGAAGTGACATAGTAAGCAATCTTTCCTTTCCCACATAACCTCCTGTGGCCCTGATTTGTGCAAACATCTATATATTATGGGATGCTTGACGGGAAGAACACTTAGGTGCAGCCTATTGCCTATGGTTCAGTGTATTTGGTTGTATTCACTTCATCCCAGCGTTATAAGTTTATCAATTAAATCATCAATTGTATACACTAGAAGCTTCATGTCATCTTTTTCACTCATCCGATGTTGACCATGTTTTCGGAGAATGACATCTACATCTGTGCTGAGTACTCGGTCAGCAATCTGCATGGACACATGCCATGGCACATCCTCATCTTTCATGCCATGGATCAGTCGAACGGGAGAAGTTACAGGTATAGGACTATGTAATATGCAATGGTTTTGAGCTTCTTTAACAAAGGAATAAGGTATGCTGTAAAATCCAGAATCACAATACTTTGAAGGTAATTTCCACTCCCCTGCTTCTTCAATAGCCTTCTTTTCCTGAAAATAGGAAAAACAAAAAAGACAACTATATTTAATATAGACCACAAATCCTACAATCCATTAATGAGCCAAAAAACGGCAAGTTAGGAAAAAGCACTGCGATTGTTTCATCTTCCCAGGGAGCAAAGCAGCATGAACAGATTTCATTGTTTCATGTGAAACACACTGGAAATGGCAGCTCAAAAGTATGTTAATGGTGCAAAAAGAGCAGCACCAAAGATAATAATTCACAACTGCCTTAGCATGAATAGGTCTTCAATGAACATACAAATTGTGTGCAGTACATCATTCCAAAAATAACAGGTGAAAAAAGTATTGCATAAACCATAGACAACATACTACTACTCTAGTAAAATCGCTGCATTAATAAAACAGATGATTAGATGCCACCAGGCCCAGATTCCGCACAAGGTCACCGAGGCCAGGCCTCGGGGCGGCAGCGGCGTGGAGTCCCCCGACGGCTGGAACATACAGGCAGGACTAAGGCAGGACTAAATGTAGTGTGGGGAATCCGCTCGCGCGTTATCAAGCGATTGCGGCGATGTCGCCGCAATCACTTGTAAAATGTGTGCTGCCGCCCCCCCCCGCCCCCCACCTACCTCTCTCTGCTGGCTCTGTCTTTGGGACTCCGTCCTCCCCCCGGCCGCCGAGTCTGTCTCCTGTCCCTGCCGCCGATGTACATAGTGAGAGGGGAGAGCTCTGCTCTTCCCATCTCAGCTGTGACAGAAGTTCTAGCACAGTGCTGTGCTAGAAGTGCTGTTTTGGAGGTGACAGGGTCAATAAAGAGAACCTGTCACCTCCAATTGCTATCACACAGCGGATTTTTTTCTCCTCTGTGATAGCAATAAAGTTAAATGAAAAAAAAAATTGTTAAAAAAATTAATAAAAATTAAAAAAAATAAGAAATAATAATTAATTAAAAAAGTAAGAAAAAAATAAAGAAACAAAAAAAATTAGAACTAACCCTGCCATCCGGTTGCCATTTTCTGTTGATTTGGGCGGGGGGGCGGGGGGGCATTACGGAACCTGGCCTTGGGGCGGCAGGGAGAGCAAATCCGGCCCTGGCTGCCACCAAGATTATTAAAACATACAAATTCAATGTTGTATAAGGGCCATTAGCATCCATTGTCCTGTACAGAGCAGAAAAAATACTTCAATGCATCGCTTCTTACTGTCCAGAAGAAGAATGTCACTCATCAGCAATGGCTCACAGATGCAGAAGTAGGTGAGAATTTACAATGCTTTGCATAGAGATTCTATTGCTGGTGGGTTAGCACCAGTGAAAGGATCACCAGAAAAGCCATGGGCCTCTAGTTCCAATCCCCAATGTCACTAGGAATGAAAGTTAGGTAAATCCAAAATATTGAGTTGCCACCTTAACAGGAATAGAGGGGAAATCTTTGAATGACAACTGTTTAACCCCTTCATGACAGCTAGTTTTCAGTTTCTGTTCATAAAATGACTGACACACTTCTTACATTTTTGCTGTGTGATTCTTCCACACCAGTAATATACTTTCTCACTAAATGTACCCACACATATTATTTTTAGAGGACAGATAAGGCTATATAATTATATCAAACATGTGTATCCAACGCCTCCCTTAGTTTGAATAAAATATTTAATTAAATGAGGGGGAAAAAACGTAAAGAAAACACTTTTTTCACAAGTTTTGATTATTATTTTTTTAGAATACTTATATATAAATATATTTTTTATACTATAATTTTTTATTTTCCTAATTTTTTTCACACTTTTTTTTTATTACACTTTTTTTTTGTCAGTTTATTTCAAACAGTCACTACGACTGCTTGATCAATTAACTTTTTTCATTTTTGGTTATTATTAGGCTGATCCAAACTTAGGAACAGCTGATAATAACCTTAGAGACTGATCCTAACAGCATGTCAGAATCAGATCTCACTAAAGGTTTCCGATCACGCCTAGACAATCAGAAGTGATACATTTCAGGCACAGAGATACATTGTAACACTGTGCCTGAAATGTATCATAAACATCGAGCCAATCTATCCAGAGGTCAAACCGAATAGCAGAGAGGTGGACTCACTCTGCTACCTTAAGCTGTCAGATACGGGATCGCTATTTAGCGCTCCCGTATTTGTATGTAACGGCTTCATTCTTTCATTAATGAAAGAAAGAAGCTTTTACAAAAGCCTAACTTTTTCATTAATTAATGTCTCAATACTGAGGCATTCATTAATGACTGGTAACCGCTGAGAATCAGCGCTTACCTGCATTACAGAGCCTTAAATAACTCGTCACGTACAGTCATATAGGCACTTCGTGGCGAGACGTACAGTGTACGTCTCTTGTCATAAAGGGGTTAAGATTGGATTTTCCTCACATTGGAAAGATATCTGCTCCCTTTCTTTTGAGTCTCGAGGACAGAAAGAAAACAAAAGTCTCCCTAATAAGAAAGAGATGGCAAACAAAAAAACTAAAAAAAGATTTAACCTTCCCGTACACTATAAAAAAAAAAAAAGAAGTTTTGCGATTACACATCTAATTTAATCATAAACAACATTTCACTTTCAATTACATTGACATTGTTACATTTACCTCTGTTGGAAGTTGACTAAATGCTGTTACAAAATAGTCAGCAGCAGGGGCGACACCAACAAGGGCTACAATCTTTTCTGGACGAGCTAGCGCAGCAAGCAACATGAGCCATCCTCCCATGCTTGACCCAACTAATATCTTAAAAGAAACAAAAAATAATAATAAAATGAACAAAAGTAATATAAATACAGTACTGAAACTAAAGCTAAACAGAAGTCCCCCCTAATTAAGTAGAACTCCAGTTTTCCCTTTTTAAACAAAAATCTCCTTACTCCGCAATAGTTAAAATAAAAAAGTAGCTTTTGCTGCATCACTCATCTGCTTTCTGGCACTGTCCCCTACAAACTCACATCTTGCTGCTGGTCCACTTGGGGGTTGAATGACAGCCACTGCCATTCAAACCATTTCTTGTGAGCCCAGGCTGTCATGGACATACACCTTTGTGTTGTGTCACCACAATGGCCTAGGCTCAAAAGTAGAATACTGCAGTGAGGGATATCGACATTACAATGTCTACATCGCTCTCTGCAGTTCCAAAGACTGCCCATCGTTGGACAAGAAGTAAAATGGAAGAACACCTGTGACCAGCAAGCAAAAGTATATGTACCCTAAAAACATTTAAACCACATGCAGGGGGTCGATTGTAAACTGGTGATGGGCTTTGACAAGATTTTCTAGTGTACTGAACACAGCTACATGTTTGCAGACGTAACCTTAATACAAAATGTTTCATCTAGATCAGGGGTGGGCAAAACCAGTTGTTGTGGAATTACAAATCCTATGAGACAGTGCAACACTAACAGTTACGGGCATGACTCCCAGAGGCATGTTGGGATTTCTAGTTAAAGCAAACTGGATGGTGGGAGCTGCCCACCCCGAACCAGATGAATAAGTTTCAACACTTAAACTCCCTATAACCATATATAACAAAAAATACAAACTGTAATTGTAATTACTATTTGTAAAACAAAGATTTTATCAGGCTCATTAGAATTTGACACTTCTGGGATTTGTACCCCACTGCACACTGTGGTTCCATCCACTGACCTGTACATCAATGCTGTGTCCTGTAGGGGTTGGAGGATTAAACCACAGTGTGTAGTGAGGGATACAGGTATCCAACATTCCTGGAAGTGTTGAAAGCTGAAGAAACTGACAGAGGATGCAGCCCTTGAACAGAGAGTTGAGTATATTACCTCTTCTATTGCATATCTTAGTATATGTTAGTATGAACCATGAGACTCACCGCCCAAGTGATTCCATGAGGTAACGAAGGGAAGGGGGAGGAGTCCGGTGATGTCACGGACAACGATGTCACCGGACTCCTCCCCCCTTCCCTTCGTTAGCCGACAGAGTCACCTGGGGAAGGGGGGAGGAGTCCGGTGACGTCGATGTCCGTGACGTCACCGGATCTCCGACGGAAGAGCCGGAATCCGGCGGAGGAGGTGAGTACCGATCAAAAACATTAACGATTAATCGAGGGATTCATCGTTAATTTCCGCAGCCCTAATATATATATATTTCAGTTTATAAATGCATAAGAGGAAAATTAGGTAAATTAATCAAATACATTTATACATTTACAAAATTTGGAGACAGTACGAGTGACACAAAGGATCAAAGTTCATCCATTTGGTTTGTGCTGATGCAGTAGAAAGAACATATTTGAAAAACAAACATATATATCTATCCTATGGCCAACAAGGACAGAATCATACAAACTAGGAAATACCTATGCCCCAACATGACAAAATACAGAAGAGTTTAACCTGGGGTCCTTCAGACACATCATCCAGAACAGAAAGTACATCCTTCTTCCATTTCCCTATTGTACACTCTTTCATGTCTCCTTCTGAGCTGCCACATCCTGTGTAATCAAACCTGAAAATTAAAACAAGATGATTAAGAAATAAAGAACCTCTTGCAAATTCTGAAAACTTAAAAAAATAGCTAATATAAAAGACACTCAGTCTATTTGGCAACCTTTTCCTTTAAAACAAAGGACCTCACAAAATGTCCCCTAACATCCAACAGCAAAAGCTCAAAAGGAGGCGTTTCATTTTCATTAATCTACTGCTGCATCTTGGCTGTCCTTACAGCTATTATCAGAATATACATACAGAAATCCCTTGTGCAACCTGAACACCAAAAATTCAGTTTGATAAATTGAATTGATGAATTTATGTTTTAGTTGCATGTCAAAACTTGTCTTCCATTATCAGTGTGATTATTCTGTTCTGCAAGCCTTCCACTTGAATAAACAGTGGACAACTCCAGGGAGGGAGTGAAATGCTAACAGAGCTCACGAAACTGTGCTATGTCAGCAAGGAAACTCAGTTTAACATAATTTGATTTTTATATAATCCCTTGTACCTAGCTCAAGTAGGACAATCAGACTGCCTCTGAGTGGTGCTGCAGCCGCTTTCTAATCTTATTGCACAATTTTATTGTAGATTGCAATGGGTGTAGATCAGGGGTGAGTATAATTCTCATTGATTATACGTAGGGATGCACCAATACCGATATGGGTGCCAATACTGGGCATTTTCACGAGTACTCTTACTCGTGAAAATGCCCTGATACTAAATGCCGATACCGTCACTTCAATTTTAAAATTGAAGCAGCTGCCTGAGGTCCCAAACTTGCTGGGGATCTCAGCAGCCTTCCTGTGAACAGCACAGTGCCCGTTTAAAGTGCGGCTGCACATCTCCTCCTCCTCCTTCCTGGTAAACCCTCACCGCACTACGAACCAGCACAGAGTATGTAGCTTCATATTATTCTACATTGCTGGGATTTGTAGACCTCTATAGCCGGCGCCATTCTGCATAAGGTATTGCTGGGATTGGTAGTCCCTCTACAGCTTGGAGTCATTGGCAGAACTACCAGGGTCGCAGTGTTTGCAGCTGCTACCAGCATTGCTGTATAATGTATTGCTGTGATTTGTAGTCCTCTATAGCCACTGCCATTCTGCATTGCTGTATAATGTTTTGCTGGGATTTGTACTCCTCTATAGCTGATGGTATTATTCTCCATTGCTGTATAATGTATTGCTGGGATTTGTAGTCCTCTATGACTGATGGTATTATTCTGCATTACCGTATGTAATGTACTGCTGGGGATTGTAGTCCACCATAGCCGGTGCCATCCTGCATTGCTGCATAAGGCATTGTTGGGATTTGTAGTCCCTCTACAGCTTGGAGTCAGTGGCAGAACTACCAGGGTCGCAGTGTTTGGTGCTCCACCACTGTCCTAAAATTATTAGTCTGTATTGTTTTAGAAAAACTATCACATGACACTAAAAAAAGTATCGGTAATTGGTATTGGCGAGCACTTGAGGAAAGGTATCGGTACTCGTACTCTGCACATGGATGGCAATAGAATTGCCATGTTTGTGGAACCATAGGCTTGGGGTTAGTTGTTCAAGATAACCAGGTTGGCCTAGCACAAATCAGGCAAAACCAGGAAACGAGCAAAAGTCATAGCAAGCAATGTACATCTACACACATTTTTGTTTGACTGGAATATATGTATATCAAGAACACATTTGCTTTTTTATGTATTCAATTCAATGGTGCAATTGGCAGCACTGTATAAGTCCTACAAATGTGAGAAGTAATGATAGTTACCGGATGAATGAGTGACCCATGGATTTGCAGAAATCTTCAAGTGCCAGTGCTTTTTGACCATTCATATCTGATGCATAACCAGGCAAAAAAATGACTCCAGGACTTTTGCCTTTAAGCTTGTGGTAAGCCAATTTAGGTAAATCTTGTCGCGCTAGAAGCTGAGCTGATGACTTTAGCCTGCAAGCTTCAGAGGAATAAAAACTGTTAGATAAATCCATAATCCAAAATAACAGCTAATTTAAGAAAGAAAAAAAAATGTACTTGCCATAAAATTATTTTTCTTTAACTCCATTGAGACACACAGATGTACATGATAACTACATGTAGTAATTCTAAGACATTTGGGTTATACTGCGGCCTTCAGGAGCTTTGGACACTGGCAGACAAAAAACATTAAAGAAGAACTCCAGCAGAATAAAACTTAACCAGTCCCTGTAGCCTCTCTCCCCCCTCCAGTCTGGTGGTCTAAGGATTGATGAATCACTAAGTAAAACAAAGTGTATTGGAGTGTAGGGAGAGAGAGGCTGCAAAGACTGGTCTAGCAGCCAGTTACGACCAAGGTTCGGGTGAGTATATCTTTGTTATTTTAGACCCAAGACCAAATCGAGCACTTAACCCTTGTAGTGCGGTGGCAGCCCCATTGCAAGTTTGATTCTGCCCGGAGTTCTTCTTTAAGTCAGCCCCTGTACAACCCATCAATTTTTTGATCAATCACCACATAAGGCCAATAACACTGAGGGACGGGACCTGTGTCCCTCAATGGACTTGGCCTTGGACTTGTAGTAATAGTCAGACATTTGGAATGTCCAAAAGCAGTCCACCAGAGGGGTAGGAAGTAGCCACTGAGGAATCCAACAGATGTGAAATCTTACTACAAAGATTATCTGGAAGAAGCAAAGCTCAAATGAGTGCTAGATGAAAATAGTGATGAAAGTACAAATGGAATATGCCACGATCAAGAAAAGGCACCGAGGATCAACCTGGTGTTCAAAACCATGACAGGAATCTTTCCTAAGGGGCAACTGCTACCTCACCTTAAACCATCTCTGCTGTAAGATGGTGGTGGTGGTAATTTTAAAATGGCACCCAACAGTAACAGCTGTGAGGTATTATTTAATACTTGAGTCCTCAGAGATTGGGCCACACCAGACGCTGTGCCATGGCTCTGGACATGGAAAGTGCTCTGCAGCTAACACAGTACACAAATGTCTGGAAAATGCCATAATACAGAGACCAATGCCAAGGGTCACATTTCAGGCAAAATTCACAATCTTAAAGGTGCCCGTGCACCTTACGATTATCGTATGAAAATCGTATGCGATCGACTTTTCGTACGACAATCGTAAGGTGTATGGGTAGTGTGCAACCGCCAGTACTGTACAATCGTACGACTTTTGGTCTTTCCTGCATGTTCAGAAACTTCAGTCGATCGTACGATTTTCGCAAGGTTGGTGGCGTTTCCGTACATCAAAAGTCGTACAATTAACACTGTTCATGCGCAAACGAAGATACGTGCGGTCGATTACCGCAATTCGTCCAGGTGTTTTTTTAACTACCGCTGATTGAACCTTGCGATAATCGGGGCAGTATGGGGCCGCCGTATGACAATTGTACGACGGTTCAATCATCGGACGAAAAGTTTCGTCCGATAATCGTAAGGTGTATGGGCACCTTCAGGCTAAATAATAGCGCACACAGTGGTCTGGAAAGCAAGACAATGCAGAGACCAGTTCCCTAAGATCACAATCCAGGATAGCCCTGAAATCTTTGATCGAGCGGGTCCAGGTACATCTTCCAAAGCTATTGCTGAAGTTTTTCAAGTTCGGTGTGCTGTGTAGAGACTAGTTCAAAGCAGCATTATTTGAAAAAATATAATAAAAATAAAAAGGTCCTATTTTTCCAGCGTAGCTGAGAGGAAAAAAAAACAAAACAACCTCCTAGACCCTAGTAAAAAACTGAGGCATGATGGTTGATGGGGTCCAAACCTCTTACAGGTGGCAATATAACCCAAGTGAATTACTAGATACACATGTCCCTCATAGACTATCAACTAATCAGTCTCTTTGCATTGGTTAGGTGATGTGTGCTGAAATCAAGGCTCATGGTGAACTGTAATATTTGTCCTTTTTCTCCTGCACTTGAAGCCTCTCTACTGTTTCTATAAAGTGATGGATGGCCTTGTTGATCAACTAGGTAGTTTGGTGGTAGGAGTGTGTGAGAGTTTTACATGAAAATTCAGGATTTGTACATAACTTCAGCAACCTTTATCTCTAGATCTGCAGATTATTTGGACATGCAGTTTTCACTGAAGGTCACGTCTACTATACCTTTGTATATGCCTAATCTGAACTGCCCAGGATTCTGGCAGATTTACTTAAAGGTAACCCATCATGAGAAAAATATGGGTTGCTGTTGACCACTTTCTGAACATGCTAGTTGTCGGGATGTTATACTGACCCTTTTGCATTATTACTTCAAAGTGTATGTGTAAACATCTTTTTGAGTTCTTGATTGAGCAGGAAAGGATTCAACCCCTTGTTGGTTTATTATGCTGTCTATGTCCTGTAGATTTCCCTTCACTTCCTGTGAGACACAACCGAAAGGAAATCTCTCTAAACTGATGGGAATTACCCTCTTAGACAGCTGTCACTGGAGCACGTGTCCCCATTGTAAGATTTCCTCACACTTTTGGCTCTGGTGACAACATTTTGGATTTCCCATCACTTTATGCCCTGCTGACAATAGGCACCAGAACAAATATGGAGGAAGAATCTATCGATCAGGAACAAAGACAGCAATAAAAAGCTAGCAAGTGTTTTTACCCTTCACTATTCTTTCCCAAAATGTAAAAAGAAAAAAAAAGAAGGTTTTGGCTCTACATAGACCCTCTTCACATTATCCAATCAGGAGGGAATTCATGCCGAGATCCCTTTAAAGATTGCAGCGGTATGGATCGGATGTCACCGCATGGTCAGACCCCATGTTGGTCTATAGGGAATTGGATGTAAATGGACATCTATCTGTTTACATCAGATTACCCCTAATCCAGCACGATCAGTTCCAGCGAAACGGAACACCGGTCTGTTTAGATCCAGCTGCCCATAGACTTACGTTAGGCATCCAATCAGATCTGCCTGAAAATCTGACAGGTGGACCTGATAAGGCCATCTGAAAAGGGGCCTTATACTTTACACATCAGTAAAGTATGAAAAAGTCAATTATCTTCATCTAAACTCATGTTCTAGGTCAGTGACACAAGGGCTTTATTTATAACAGTGCCACCCAGCGTATTCGCCTATACTCTTCAGCACCATCAAGGGGCGCTAGTGGTGTGCAAATGGCATTCACCCAGCTATATGCTGGGTAAAACTTTTGTAAAGAACCCCAAAGTGATGAAGCAAGAGAGTGTGTACATGAGTGATTACTCCCATATTACTTTACTTCATACTTCTCCTTTTTGGGTTTATTTATTGTACTCTAGTATAGCATTTAAGGGATCTAGAAATGTATCATAACATTAATATAAATGTTCCACAGATGATCTAATTTTAAGTTGAATTTCTACTTCCTTGAAATCATGGACATCTGCCCTTCAATATTGATTGTTCTAAGCGGATGTCTCGCCACTTCAAACTGTTTTGTCAAGCCTTAACATAGGCTATTGTGTCATCGTGGGAATGCTTGGATTGCTATGCCTTTGTTGTTTTTTCCTATTTACAGAATATACACTGTCACAAATATCAGCTGAATAAATCTGGAGCACAGTTTTGCCAGTGGCAAAATAATTCAATTGAGTTTCAAGGATGGTTGAAATGCTGAGGCTCCAGTATTCCAAAACAATGGTGATTCTACCAATCCATCCGTTATTTCATTTAAGTGAACATTTTATAGCATGGCACGGTCAGAGTGTTTTAGGATAAAATGTTCAAACTCTTTAGCTTCCCAAGATATTTCAATACCAAGATCTGAATCTGGCTGAGAGCTATATAAAAAAAAGTCTGCAGGTTGACACTAATGACATCTCCTGCTGAAAGGTGGCAGACTCTCATCAATGGGCAGCACGCAAAAGGACAGCACTAAAACCCTGACAGATATTCTAAAGCTGCCCACACACCTTACAATTACCTGCAGATTTTCTGTGGTCAGATGGAAAAGGTGCAACAGATTCCTCCATCTACACTTAATTGTGTGGATGGAGTAATCTCCACCTGGGCCAATCTGTTGCACTTTTTCCATCAGACCACAGAAAATCTGCAGATAATTGTAAGGTGTATGGGCAGCTTAAGCCTTCCCCACTCTACTGAACAAAAGTGTTTCTATTGTTGTTTTTCATTATCAGGTTGTTTTGGGTTTTTTAAGCAGTCACCAGGACGGGACATGAGAGGGTAATCTCCACAATGGGGTCACAAATAGCTATGAAATCCAAAAACATGACCATTTTATCCTTTATTTCACATTTGCTTTCCTTATCCCTATACTTCCTCTATGCCAGGCTCAAAGCACTTTAGCCATTGGATCAGCATGACATCCACTTTCAAACGATGTCGGCAACATCAGTCTCCATTTTTTTCTTAGCACAGAACATACAGGTAACGCAGACTGTTTGTATTCCTACAGAGCTGACAGTTCATTGCTATCGCTTGCTGCGCCGTCCACCTCCACCATCTTCTTTGCCACTTCTTCCGGGTGTAGCATCCTCTCTCTTTGGTCACTGGGCAGCCCAGCGCCTGGCTTCATTTTTGGCATCTTGCAGATGGCCCTCTATGGCAGGGGTATACAAACTCTGGCACTCCAGCTGGGGTGCAACTACAAATGCCACGAGGCACTGCAAGAATCTGACAGCCACAGGCATGACAGGATTTGTAGTCTCACTGGCTGGATTCTTACATATTTTGCAGTAAACCCCGCATTTTACCATGTTACTGCAAAACATCTTAATGCATGGCTGGACACATCCCAGGAGCCAGATAGCCAATGCTCCTTACAGTTTACAGCTGGCGCCTAATTTTTGAGGTTTTCTCTAGTTGTTGTCAATAGAGCTGGCTCCTAAAATATCCTGCTGGCTCCTAAAATATCCTGCTGGCTGCAGGATTGGACAGACTGACTCCTGAATTCCCCCCAAAAATTGTCCACCCCTGTCTAATCATCTAATGCCTGGGTCCCTCGCCAGCACTGCTATGGTTGTGGAAGAATGGTAATCCATCGCTGCAGATGTGCCTGCACTGGTGGTCCCCTTCTGCTATATGTTTATGTGTCCACAGCATATCTAAACATATTTAAATATTTATTTAAAAATGGTTACCTTTTAGATGTTTCTTTGGTGAAGGCTTATGTGCAGATTCCAAGCTACCAGTTTAAAAAGGAAAGTAGATGGATAAACGAAGGGACAGACTACACTTCCTCTCATTAACATACAATGCTTCTAAGTCTGTAACCTTCTGTTAGGACAGACAGTGTTCAAACCTAGTTTACTATTCTAGTTCCCTATTCTTCTCACGGTGGCCATTTTTACTAAGGGCAGATTAATCTATTATGCATCCCTTTACTTCCCGGAACTCTGGCACATGTGACTAGAACATATGACCATGCACATCCTCTCAGGGGAAATAAAATGCCCTTCCACCCAGATCTCACAGTTTACAGAGGAGATTTCCCAGCAATGCACTGCTGATCTAACCTTCCCAAGATGCATCTCTTAGACATGAGCTACATCACTAATGCCGAAGAGGAAGTAGAAAAACAGTAATTGTAAGTAAAAGAAAAAATAAATATTTAACTAATGAATGTAAGATGATTTCATATCAATATGCAGAGCTAAATGCTGATGTGATTTTTAGTGAAAGGTGGTAAAGGTCCACTTTAAGTAAAAGCCAGGTTCAGGTTTACATTTTGATAAGTTTTTGATATTTTTGGGAAGGTATTATAGTTCTGCTACAACCTTTTTCTTCTATGCAGAGTCTGTTATTTTTTGTTTGTTTGTGGCAGTGGAATTTCTACTCTTTTTAGCACTTCTGGAACGCAGATGAAGATACAGAGTGTAGGCCAATATATGTGGTAATGTGCACTTGTTTTTGTAGCCACCACTCCAAACTCCCCCTCAGGATGGATTGCAATCTCACATTTAGTTTAGAGAGTGATGGCTACTTTACAACACACACACACAGGGACCATGGGGAACAAAAGTAGCCACCCTCCAGAAGGAAGGACAGTGTCAGCACTAATTCAGAAATGATTTGAGGATCTACAGCCGAGTGATATACAAAATATACATTTTTGTTAATAGTTAAAAGAGAACTATGGGGTAAGTGTTTTTCCCCATAGTTCTCTTAAGGGTCACAGGAGGACATATACTAACCTCCTCCTATTACCCAAAGCTCAGTATATTGCGATATAATGAGAGTGCCACAGCCAGGATGGATCCTGACAATACTGTCTGGTTCCACCCAGCTGTGCGAGTGACAGCTGGCTCTGCCTATATGGACAGCCAGCTGTGCTTACCCCCTTTCCCTGGTCGTTCCTCCACTCAGCGCTGGAGGATCAGAGGGGAGGTGGGAATCGGGACGATCGGGAAGTGAGCGGATCGGCTGCATGTTTCTGGTCATTTCCCGATCAATAGAGCCGACCAGTGACAGCTTCTTTGTCATAGGTTTGCTCTAACTATGAGAATGAGTGGAAATCACTCGCCTCATAGTTCTCCTTTAGGGTACTTGAATGTATTTTTAAGATTTAACACCTGAGTTTAGTGTCTCTTTAAATAGGGATGCATGGTAACACATGCCAGGCCTGGTAGAAGATGTCAGCTATAGTGTGATGGGTGGGGGGGTAAAACAGACCTCACATTGTTGGATGAGGGAACACTAGGAGGTAAGTGCATTTTTGCTCATTATGAAAACAGCCCACCCACTCCTAAAGCATTCAAGTTCTTCCTTCATCAACTATTTTCATCTAATACGTATATCTGATATACGGGGCTGTGATTTATTAGTTATCATATATAGTGTGCATGAGACATCACTGATTGGCATACATAGCATTCCACATAACACATTCCATATGAGTGCCTGGGGCATCAAAATGGAAATCGCCCTGTTTCAAATGTAAAACACAACATAACTGCTAAGTTTATTAAGCAAGAAAACTATGACAGTCATTACGTGTGCTCATACAGCAAGTTACTGGCACTGTTTACTCTGCTAGCAAGTGACAGGTTACAGCGGACTGGCAGTGACAGCGCCGCAGACAGACAGAGGGGATGGGCGCTCTCACCTTGCGAGTGTCTGGTGATATCTGGTTGCAGCAGGAGCGCTCCCCTCGTGTACATTGCCAGTGCCCAGGTGCGGGATACCCGTAGCGAACGCGTCGCCATGTTTACTAGTGGCAACTCCACCTACCCCTCTCAGACCCGCCCCGTGACGTATTTGGAAGCGCAACCCCAGTGTGGTCCAGCAATGTCATGTGACAAATGAGGGTGCAAGCGCAGATATTTTGGGATGTACTCCTCAATCACGTGACACCGTTATTTGCCGCACTGCTTGAAAAATGAACTGCGTGTTTTATGCAGGAGAGGTCCGTTACCCCCTTAATGGCGTAATTAGTGACAAGGGCCTGTGCTGGCAAATAAAGACAACTTTCAGTGTAATCATATCTGTAATACGTATGAGGGAGAAATTCTAAAGCACAAACACAGAGATCCCATGAGTAACCTGGCGTTTAATAGGGAGGTAGTTCGGGTTTGCTGCTGCTGTGTTCATTATTTGCTAACTTTTGGCTGAAAACCTTGCAGGTGTGCCACCAGAACTACAGAATGATCTAGAATGCAGGGTAAGCTGAGTCACCAGAGCCAGTACTTTGAAGCAATGGAGAATTTGTATAAAAAGGTGGGCTTGCAGACACTGTATTGTCGATGGAGGGTTATCAAAATGGGAGCAGAAGACTCAATCAGCTACTCTCCTCAGTTAAGCTGGCCATACACCTTACAACCATCGCACAACTTTCGTTGTGCAATGGTTGTAAGGTCATTAAAATTTTGTACGAGCTGCCCATCTTGGACGGGCAGATCGTACTTGCGGTCATCGCAAGCCCTCCCCGTTGAGGGGAGGGCTTGTCGATGATTGCAATGCTGAGCGGGCAGTGTGCGCCAAAAATCGTACGATTTTTGGCGGGTTTTCCAGCGTGCTAGGAAGACAAAAGTCGTGCGACCGTACACCTGCCGATTATCATGCGATAATCGGCAGGTGTATGGGCACCTTTAAGGTTTGAAAATGGAAGGTGCATGTTGATTGGTTGACATGGGCAACTGTTCCAGAGTCTGCTCCAGTTTTGATAAATCCCCCTCTTCAGTTTGTTCAGTTAAGGTTTGAAAATGAAAGGTGGATGCTGATTGGTTGCCATGCACAGCTGCTCCAGATTTTGTCTGCCCCAGTTTTGATACATTCCCCTAGTTGAGGGGAATTTATCAATACTGAAAGGGATGGAATATGAAGCAGTTGCCCATGGCAACCAATCAGCATTGACATTTCATTTTCAAACCCTAACTGAACAAACAAGAGAGAAGCTGATTGGTTGCCATAGGCAACTGCTCCAGATTCTTCTGCTCTAGTTTTGATAAATCCCCCCAAATGTGTTTTCACAGTTAGGGTGCCCACACACCTTACGATAATCGCGGGAAATCCCGCGATCGTACGATTATCGTAAGGTGTGTGGAAGCCGTGTGACCTCTACCACTGTAAGGTCGCACGACTTTTAACTTACGAACATGTTTGAAAACCCGCCGAGCATCGTACGATGTTCGGCGGGTGTGTAGCATGTTTGTAAGATAAAAGCCAGATGGGCCGGTGTGCGCAAGCGCACACTGCCCGTTCGGCATTGCGGTCATCCGCAGCCTGCCCCTCAGGGGGGCGCGGCTTGCGATCATCGCAAGTACGATCTGCCTGTCCAAGATAGGCAGATCGTACGTTTTTTTTAAGTACCTTACAACCATCGCAAGACAAAAGTCTTGTAAGGTGTGTGCCCAGCATAAGGGCTAGTTGACACCAAGTGCGGAGCAGATTCAGAACAGTTACAGAATGCATCAAAAATGCATCCAATGTATTCCAATGGTATTTTAGGCTCTATTTCACACCAGAGCATTCAGTTCCAGTGCATGTGGAAAACTGCAGCATGCAGTTTTTCTGCTTTGGAGCACACCATAACACATGCAAACGCCCTGGAACGCACTATAAGCTCATTGTAGGCTAAAATATTATTTTAATTTTTTTGAAACGGCCAGGAATGGCTCAAAACACACTGCACTGCATGTGCAGAAACTCATGCAAATCTGGTCCGGATTTGGTGTGAATAAGACCTTAGGGAGAGCTGACAATTTTGCATAACGTTAGCTATACACAGAGTAAATTTGTATCTAATTCTTTATGAACAACCCAAAATTTGTTCAGTGGGTGGTTCAGTCTGCCAGCTCCCACCCAACATCCTTCAGCCGAGAAATCAAAGAACATTGACAGCAGAAGATTCTCTTGTTGATGTTTGAAAAACTCTGGCTCCAAGCCGCAGTCCAGGTTCCCTGGAAAGGTGCTTTATCCAAGTGGGTTCCCATCCCCATGTGCTGTTTTGCTGTATCAGGTTCACTCAATGTCCTTGTGACAGGTTTTCTGATCTTTTTTCACCCTCATTCACACTGTAATCGGCCAGCTCGTACAGCTCCGTGCTCCGTGCACGGCCGTATCGCTCAGCTCCCGGGAAAGACAGGTGCTGCGTGTGATTAGTATGCAGCCCCTGTCTTTCTCTATGGGACTACGCGGCCATACGCCACCCTACACTCACCCCAAGTGCAGGTCCGTACAGGTGCGTGTTTCCTCGCTCGGACGCAGATACGATCCATCTTAACCAGCCAGAGTTACGTCTGTTAAGGTTTTTTTTACATATACAGTATGAGGATAATGATACCAATAGATTCAGCAGGTTAACAATCAGATCATTCAGAATACTGAACAGTAGTAAGCAGCTATCTGGGTATTATTACAATAAACTCTCATAGGCATTCTCCTCGACTTCCTACAGGCGACCAGATGTGGAGCAATGCCGTTGACTTATGTCTGGTTATGTCAATAAAGAGTGAAGATATTACAGCCCTTCTGTTTTGTGTTTTCCTTTTTTGAAGAAAGTGAGGGCAGGTGGCAAAGTTTTAGTGGGCGAGAGAGAATGGAAAAAAGGAGCAAAACTTATTTTGGCTTGGTGTGTGTTCTTTTGTATGTATAATTAGAGCTTATGCTAACACCTCAGTAAAGATGCACATGGCTGAAGAGAGGCCAAATGGTAGGGAGTGAGGCCTTTTTGACACCAAGCGCAGAGCAGGTGCAGACCGGATCAAAACTGCGTCCAATGTATTCCAATGGTATTTTTTTGCTCCAGTTCACACCGCAGCGTGCAGTTCCAGAGCAGGTGGAAAAACTGCAGCAAGCCCTATTTTACCTGCTCTGGAACGCATGCAAATGCATCAAAAACACATGCAAATGCCTGGAACGCACTAAAAGCCCATGTTAAACTAAAACATTAAAACGTTCCGGAACGCATCAAAAACGCGGCACAACCCACTGCACTGCGTGTGCAGAAACCTGAGCGGATCTGCTCTGCATTTGGTGTGAACAAGGCCTTACATGCAGGTGCATTATGCCCTGTTACCCTCCGTTTTACAGATTTGCATTCTTGAGGTCTACTGTGGCCATAAACGCTGATGGAGCAAGTAAGTATCTCCGCAAAAATATTGATCCCGTGTGGAATCTTTTGTATGTTATCATTTTTCAGGGGTTTGAAATGGAAAACCATGCGTCACTTTCTAAAAAGTTTCAGAATAAAAAGCTTTCCCCACTTGTGGGGGAACAGGGCAGACCACATTCTGCTGGAAGAGTCATGTTAGAGTCCAAAGCTAGACTGAGGAGCTGATCCATATGGCTTTATTATGTTTAACTTTTAAGTTGCCTTGAAGCTTGACAAAAGCATTTCTGTGTACCATTGTTACACTGTAGGAATGATATTTATACTGTATGTATATAATATATATATATATGATCCACTATTCTTCATCCTCTCTCTAATATCATTGGCTACACCAAAATCCCTGTCCGACTTACTTCTGTGGGCCACAAAACACCTATTTTGTGGGGAGGAAGAGGTATTTTGTAATCCTAACATACTTTCTGTCCTTGGATTACAACACTCCCCCTCTATAGATCCATAGTGAGTAAGCATGGTCATCCTTGGACAGGAAGTGTGTTACTGGAAGGATCACTAGTTGAAATAATTTGGAAAAAAAATGCCTTCACCTGCTTTTCTCTCCTGAACAAAGATAACAGGACTGCATTTTTGTACAGGCACTATCCAGAGTCTGCGTCTACTTCCTTGACCGAGATACCAGCTCAGAGATGACAGGATCATGTAAATCCTGGTGCCAGTGTAATTCTTTGCTGTTAACAAATGTGTTAAAGAGATCTGCCCCCTGCTGCAATCTCTCAATTTATGACTTACTATAAAGTTGCAATGTTGCAGCCTGATCAGTGGGGGTGAAGGAGATGGAGGTTATACCGCCCCCTGCCTACAGCAGATTGATGACATATCTTGGCCCAGGTAAGACCAGCAGACTGGAGCTCAAGGACTGATTTTTTTTAATGACAGTTGGTACAGTTTTCAAAAGATCATACCGTTACTGGAAAATAAAAGTTTCACTTTAGGTCCCTGTCCAGCGAATGCACACCAAAAGTGCATTATGCGCAACCATTGAATTCAATGGGCCACACGCAGCATACACAGGGAAGAGAAAAAAAGCGTGTGAACAGGCATGACCTTAACACGCATGCCCGCTATGCCCAAGTGTGAATGGGGACTGCATCTTTTAAGAGACTGGAATCACCAGTGGCTACAGATTCATGTAAGCTTGACATATTGCTGCAAAAAAAAAACCTTCAAGTAAACACTTTTTATTTTCACATTGAAAAGAAACAGAACAATTAGTGCTTTTGTGTCTTTAAACTTCCACCATAAATAGAACAGACATTTAAAAGGATACTTCTAAAGCAATGAATTTAACTGTCACCAAACATTCACTGGTGGTGAATTATTTACTGTAATTTAAAAAACACATGCTCCCAGTGGATCCACCTACAGTGAATGTTTGGTAAATGTCAGCTTCACAACTATACCCCTATAAAAGTTAAAGCAAAGGCAATAGCAGAAACATACATTCTACATTTCACCTATGTTACAAATGCACCAAGATTAAAAATGTAAAGTATATTTCAGAATTAAATTGGAACAAAATCATTTCTGACTGGTTGCTGCACTAGGGGAAAAAAAGGGACCGCTCAAAGTTAAAAATGTAAATTTAAAAAAAACAAAACTGCAAGTTAGAAATATAGGGACTGCCATTTGAGACTTTTTTCTAGTTGCAAACATAAAAGATTTTCATCCTGCTCCTGGTTTCATTGAACTGGAGCAAATATACAAAATGTGAGTTCAGACTTCAAGTGCTTGTTCCACATCAGGGATCACTTGATGTTGGGGCCAGAATCAGGAAAAAAAGAGCGTCCACCTTTGACAAGTCAGCAATGGCAGCTCCATGATTTCTGTCTTCACATGCCCCCTTTAATAGACAAGTCTACTGGTCTACTGGCAAATAAAAAGAAAAAAAAGATATCTATCCATCTATATCTTCGGTAAGGAGAGTAGAGTACTTGTAGGAACGATGCATTCTCTTGCATCATGAAGTTGTTAGAGATGCAATGGATGATATCCTTAAGGGTCCATTGATATATTTGTGGTATGGTAAAAAAAAAAAAGTGTTGTATTGTGTGTTAGAGCAGCTCATTTAATGGAATGGGTTGCCATTGCACAACAAAGCAGGTTAAAAAAAAAAAAACACACATGCATCTTTATTTACTGCTGATGTAGTGTGTCACAATGCATAGCATATAGGTTTCAAAGCACATAGTACTCCAACACAGTACACACCTTGAGGAAAGGAGCATTGTATTGCAACACATAGGTGTGAAGGGAAGCCTTAAGGGCATTAGTTGCGTATATTAATAATATTTTAGGAATTGAAATATAAAATAAGCCACATTTGTTTTGTTTTCCATTTTGGAATGAGTAAGGGAGGGTTAAAGTTAGGGATGTCCCGATACCGATGCTAGTACCGGTATCGGGGCCGATGCCTAGATCAGATACCGGCCGTTTAAATTTTTTCAACTAGCTTCGGCCATTGACCCCAATAGCCCCTCCCCCAGAACACCTCTCCACCAAACGAGGCTCCCTCTCCGCAAGTGTGACAGCATGGCGGGGGTAAGGCTGGGCACACACCTTACAACCATCGCAAGACTTTTGTCTTGCGATGGTTGTAAGGTACTTAAAAAAACGTACGATCTGCCTATCTTGCATAGGCAGATCGTACTTGCGATGATCGCAAGCCACGCCCCGAGGGGCGGGCTTCCGATGACCGCAATGCCGAACGGGCAGTGTGCACTTGCGCACACCGGCCCGTATGGCTGTTATCGTACGGACATGCCACAAACCCACCGAACATCGTATGATGCGCGGCAGGTTTTCGAACATGTCCGTAAGTTTAACCTTACAGTAGTAGAGGTCGCACGGCTTCCACACACCTTACGATAATCGTACGATCGCGGGATTTCCCGCGATTATCGTACGGTGTGTGGGGACCTTAAGTGTTGTGTGGACAGTCTCTTCTCCCTGCTGGTCCTGGCTGCAGAGCTCGGTGTCCCTTTCACAGACCGCTGTAGCCAGCACGAGAAGGCAGAAGAGACGGCAGCTGTGAGTTCCCCCGCAGCCCCCCTCACCCCTGTATCTTAGCTGCTGCTGCTCCTCCGTGTCCCGTCCTTTTCAACTTTATGAATCGGTTTCCTTTTGGTGATATATCTCAGTGTGAGATGCCCGTGCTCCATGCACTCTCATTGTAAGAAGAGAATGTCCGTTCAGCTGTAAATCTTCTGGCTATTGCTCCCAGCCAATGCCTGCTGTATTTACATTCAGTGAATCCAGTGAAGTAGAAAAGTGACACTAGAGGTCTAAAAGACCCCTAATGTCACCTTAAAGAGAACCTGTCACCTGCAATGCACGCAGCACTGGTGAGAAACTGCCCTAAAATCATTAGTCTGTATTGTTTTAGAAAAAATCCCACATGTCCCTTTAAGAAAAAGTATAGTTAATTGGTATCGGCAAGTACATGAGGGACAGTACTTGTACTTGTCTTGAAAAAGTGGTATCGGGACATCCCTAGTTAAAGTCCCTGTTATTTTTTAGGGAGATTTCCCTTCACTTTCTGCCTTGTAGACCAACAGCAAATGAGAGAATATCTTTCCAATTAGAGGGAAATCCCTCTACGACAGTTGTCACAGGAACAAGTGTCCCCATTTTAAGATTTCCCCTCTATTCCTGTTCTTGTTGCAACGTAACATTTTAGGTTTGCCCTCACTTTCAAGTGACGTTGGTGAACCACACAAATTAGAGAGTGAATTTACCTGATTGGAACACAGACTGTAGTTCTAACCACTCACTACTCTATCCAAATAGAAAAAAAAGTTTTACCTTTAGTTATACTTTAAGTAGGTACAGAGTAAAATACATTTCTGACCTATGCTTCCAATACTGCCAGTTATGCTGATTCACCAGCTAGACATTTTGAGTAAATGAGTTAAATTGAGCATACGGGTCAGTTAACATTTCAATTGCTGCATGCTTATTCTGAGGCAGGAATTCAGAACCAACAAAAAACATTCACAGGAGGGTCTCAAATGGTGGCCGATACATTGCTCTCGGTACAAGTCGATATTTATGGGACTAATGTATCTGTGTGTCAGTTCTAAGAATTGTAATTACCTCCCTACAGCCGTCAATTAGGTCCAAACGTTCAGGGCACGTTTCATTCTAATGGTGCCTGTGGGGAACCAATGCCAGCTCCGCGTACTATCATGTAATTACATCAGGTCCTACATGATCTTGACTGTTCATGCACATTTGTATGTTCATTAACAGGAACAGTTATCCTAAGCTATTAGTAAACCAGTATACAGGATTCTTTTTTGGGGGAAATTGTTTTTTGGTTCAGTGCTTTATAACCATATTGCCTTCAGAGTCCTGTGTAAACATGTAAGGCAGAGAATCCTCATCACTCAGATAGCGGGGGTTTCTTTTCATTGGGCTAGCAGTGTCCCAAAGAACATTAGTCCTGTCCTGAAGTGGACCTGATGGGTAACAAGTCTTTTGCTTGTCACTGGCAGCTCTATGAGCAATTACTCTGTTGCCCTGTGAATCCTGTGTGAATAGCTGACTGTGTAGCTGTGATTCTATATATAGGTCTTTATCATGCCTTTTAGAACAAAGGAAACTGATGGAGGAGTCCAATAAAGAAACCGAATTTGGCTTGGTAGTACAGATGTCTGCAGGGCAGCATAACAGATCCTCTGTTCTTACAGAATGACTTTGCAGAAGATCTCTTGGATGAACAAGGCTATCAGTCACATTGCTACTTTCAGCATCGATTTCTTTCCACAACTGTGCAGATTGCTGAATATCACTGTGTGGATTATATGAAGTGGTACTCTTATAGGCAGAAGATGCATCAACATATTCAGCAGATGATCCTACAGGCAAGGGAAAAATGCTGCATTATAATGTAAAAAGACCAGATATTTCCACAAAAAACAAACATTCTATGTGATTTTCTATTATGTTATATAATTTACATAAAGTCCTTGATGCATTTAATCACTTTTCTCAAATGTTAGGAACTTACTAAACAGCTAATTTTTGGAACCATAAAGCCTTGTTTACAATTCATATAAATTCTTTAACAAGTACATACAATAGCAAGGATGTAATAGATAATGCATTCAGTTGCAGGAGTACAGTAAAGTGCTGTAGGTGACATCTCATTTCTGCAGACTGCTCAGTGTTAGGACCTGCGGTATTTGAATTCCAGTAGGGACAGTACATACTTACCAACATTTAGAGGTTCAGCATCATTTTCTTCTGCTTGTCCTTTCACACTTAGACTACTGGGTAAGTTTTCTTGATTTGTAGGCTTTGGCTTGCCTATAAAATATATGCATGTTTTACCACCAGCAGAAAAAAAAAAACATCATTTAGCAATTTTGTCAGTGTGCCCCTATCCATACAGCCCTCATTGTTGGTAGAAGCAGTTGATTGGAAAACCGGTCCTTGACTGACTGATCATTTCTCTAACCGATAAGATGTTCAATAGGGTGGCTGACCTTACAAAGATGTAGAGCATCTAAAGCAGGGGTTTCAAACTCAATTTAATCGTGGGCCGCATCAACATTATGGTTACCCTCAAAAGGTATCTGTAAGACTATATAAATGTATCTAATCTTTATCATAATTGCCTCTGCATTTGCCTATCACTGGTTTTAGTAATAACTTAATACCTAGATCTGAAAGTAGAAGTCTAGGAAACGGCCTGGTGGGCCGGATTCGGCCCCTGGGCCTTGAGTTTGACACATGTGATCTAAAGAGATCTTTCAAGAGCATGTACTGGGGATTGTCGGAAAACCTATACATTTAAGAGATTATTCCACCCAACTAAACCATCCAACACAGGCCACAGTGACATATGAAGACTCACCAAATTGGATCTGCTCATCACAATGGTAGCACATACTACCAAATTACCTCATCCTATAAATAGGATGAAGTTCCAGATGAGCTTCATAAGACATCTATAATGTGTACAGCACAAATATTTACCAGTTGCGGACATTGGGCCTGTGTAGTACATGCGGGCAGCGTGGTTCCACAAAAAGGAGGAGATGTACGTGCCGGGGCTGTAAATAGGCACAGAGTTTCACAGGAAGGCTGCCAGGACCTTGCTGGGGACCTAGTCAGCCTTCCTGTGAACAGAGATGACCGTTTACATTGCCAGCTTCAGTATCGGTGCTTAGTAACGGGGCATTTTTACAAGTACTCATGAAAATGTCCCCGCATAGGCACCAATACCTATATCCCTAGTGTGTGGAGGTTTTTATTTTGTTGTGTTTTGGGTATTGATTGCATTAAAAATAAAATCATTTTTACGAGACAATATCACCAAAAGAAAGTCTTGTTTGTCCTAATATTAGACAAATCATTGCGCTAGGTAAATATCTCTAACAAGACACTTCCTAGGACATGAAGTGTCTGTGGATACAACATGCTAGTAATTGAAACCAGTACATATAAAAATAAAAGGACTACAGTTGGCATTGTAGGATCACAAGAAACCACATATTTGGTTTAGGTGATTGGATTCCGAAGCTGACTTTACCTTTTGGTGTAAAAAAGGCATACATAGATGTCTGTTTGGTGCAAAGCTGTGGTGTTTTTGTTTGAGTGAATTCAATTGTAGCAGAATCAAAATGCCGACTTCTTAAGGGTGGATTAAACTTGCTGGAATACGAGCAGGGGATGACGGTCTGCAACAGAAAACAGAAACATTTGTTACAATATTGTGTCCATTATACTGTACTTTAACATCAAGTTGCAGAGAAACCCAGCCGTCAGCTATAAGCACAAGTGAAAAGGACTGCAGAACCTTTTGAAGAAACCCATAGAAACCGTAGTTGTTCTTTCACTGATCATCATTTTATAAACTGAATTCAGTTGATTGCTAATGATTACTGCACACCAGCATTGTTCATGACTAAATTAGTCCATCAGAATGCTGTCATATCTGAAAGGATTGCCGGTGCATGGAGAGGTTAGGAAAACACAGAAACACAATGAATAAAGTAGAAGACGGAAGATACTTGTCAGCAGGTCCTCAGGTACTGCTTCCTCTTTAGCAAGCCCTCCAAATACCATGATACTAGCAGTCAGAGGCAGTATGCACGGATCTCACACTGCAGATTTGCAGCTGTGAGGCTTAAAAGGAGAATTAGGAGCCGAGTGATTTTCACTCAGCCTCATAATCTGAGCCAACCTGTGACAATGAAACTGTCACAGGTCGGCTCAGTAGATCGGGAAGTGAACACATAGCGGCGCTCGCTCACTTCTCGATCCTGTCCCTGCAGAGAGCCGTGAATGTCACTCATGGCTCTCTGCAGGGATTCCCCCCCCTCCCCTGTTCTCCAGCGCTGAGTGGCGAAACGGACGGGGGAGGGGGCGGGCACAGCTGGCTCCAACCTCTTACCTGGTTTGATGGGTACGCACTCGTCCAGTGAATCCAGCGTTGTTCTCTGGTGATCCGCTGCTCTCTTCAGCCCCGGGTCCAATGCTGCCATCTTCCAAAGCCGCCTGTCACTTCTTGAAACAGTCAGCTGCCAACTCCCCCCCCATTCCCAATGAATGCACACCATGTAGGGTTGCCATCTGTCACGGATTCAACTGGACAGTCCAGGTTTTGAGTCCTGTATGTGCGGTGTCTGGGTTTCAGCTGGACTGAAACAGCACATACATGACTCAAAACCCAGACTGTCCAGGTGAATCCGGGACAGGGGGCAACCCTAGCACCATGTCTGCGATCCTTCAGCTCAATGTCAGTCCCCCTCCAGCTCTGAAGCCATTTGGGATATGCATATCTCTGGAGACATAAGGTGGAGCAGGGACATGTCATTCTTGCCTAGGTGAGAATGGAGGCAGGGTGTGGGGAGGAGTGAAAAAAGTAAATTTAAAAAAAAAAAAGGTATTTTTTTCACCATTGTGGTGGAGGGGGATTGCATTAGGGAAAGCCTATCATGTGGATGAAGGTCTGCTTTAAGTGGAGGTGCAGCTTTTGATATCAGCCACCAAATAACAGCAAAATGGGAGTGGATCTGTGTACCAATGGAACCCTTGCCCATAAATATTAATTAACATGTACTTGGAAGTCTAGTTCCACTCAGGGCCATCCCTAAAATGAGGCAGCCTGAGGTGATTTCCTCAGGCTGCATCTCATTGGGGGACGGCAGATGTGCGTGTGTGGGGAAGGGGGAATGGACAGCAGGAGGGGAAGGGGGAATGGACAGCAGGAGGGGCAGCCACATTGTGCCAGTTTATTAAGAACTCTTTGCAACCTGTAACACTCTGTCCAGCTCATTGATGTCACTGGTTGCCAGGAGCTGAGCAGGATGCTCCGATTGGCTTTCCGCCAAGCTCCTGGCAACCAGTGACATCAGTGAGTGGGAAGGATGGTGGACACAGCATCACAGGTTGCTAAAAGCTCAACCGGTCCGGACAGCATGGCACCCCCAGAACAATCATTCACTGATAGCACCCCACCCCAAGCAGCAAATAGTGTAGGGACAGCCCTTGTTCCAGTGTAGTGGTTGCCCCAAGTGTTGGAGGGAGACATATCACTTTCATAATGCTGACTATAATTCCGCAGAATCAATGTCTGCTGGGATCAAAGTTGATAATTCATTAGATTGCAACTGTAGATCAGAAGCTTGATGCACATAAACAGTTAATCGTTCCCTACAATTCAAGCTCCCTTGCATCCTGATCCCAAAGAGCTCCCACACCCGATAATAGAGATATGCATACACTAAAGCTAAAAAAGTGAATGTAAAACACTCCAGACCTGATATGATCTCTTCTTCAGATCGGCTGTGTCCAGCCACACTCCGCACTCTTCAGGCTGTAGACAGCGGCTACGTTGTTTCTTGCTCTTCATGTTTACAATCAGATACACAGACAAATCCAAGCTACACGGAGCAATTCAAACTCCCGCCAGACGTCCTAATATAGGTGACCCGCTCACTGCCTGTTCCACATTACCAGAGGCTGCCCTCTTACTGCCTGCTCTATGGTATTCCAAGCGACATGTCGGCCATGCTTTTGGTGGGATCTGCTGGTGTGACGCCGCTGACACATGAGGTTTGGTCAAATTAAAATGGTCCTTTGTCCGAGGGACAGCCACTAGTTTTGCATAATCCTACCACGTAATGTCTTTAATATAGGACTGTTGCCAGAAACATACTGCTGCTTACCAGGCTTTAAAGTAAAGTGACCTGGGTGAAAGATTGCTGACAGAAACTTTTTTTTTAATAGCAGAAGAGACGGTAAGTGTTTATAACATAAATCGCCTGTCTGTCAGCAATTTTTCTTTTTTTCTGTGCACTAAGTTGCACCGTCTTACAGATATTGCTCCCTATCATACTCTCCTGCAAGTATTGCCATATATTTCACACTTCTCTCCTGCACACACTGCCCACCATCATACCCTCCGCACCCCTCTTCAATCCATAATGCCTGCTGTCATACCTTTTGTACTCCTCTGCAGCACATACTGCCTGCTGCCATACCCTGCACACTCCACTCCTGCACAAACTGCCCACTATGATGCCCTCCACACTCCACTCCTGCACATACTGCCTATTATGATGCCAACACTCCTCTCCTGCACATACTGCCCACTATGATGCCCTCCACACTCCACTCCTGCACACAGAGCTGTAGCTAGCCTATTTTGCGCCCGAGGCAAGAACAGAAAATTGTGCCAACCCCCCCATGTTTTTTTGAGGAAACTAAATAAATAACAAGGAATTAATGATATTTAAACCCTTTATTTCAGTTACATAAGAAACATAAAGATATGTAACTTAACATAAATAACAACTTCATAAAATATAAACTTACAGTGTAGTTAAATAAGGTATCACAAATAGTGCTTTCAGAATTAAATCTATTTATTTGGATTGAAACAAACTTTAAATTGAAGAATCAAAGTGTTTTTCATGGTAATGTATCCCTCAGAGATGTAACCATAAGTTAATACTTATAGCAAAATAGAATAAAATAAATATAGTGCAATAATGTTGGAGGTTGTGAGAGCTAGTTCACACCAGATCCAGTCAGTTCAGGTTGGCAGCAGCATCAAAAACGCATCTAAAAGACTAGCGTGCGTGTGCAGAAACCTGACCGGATCTGCTCTGCATTTGGTGTGCATTTTTTTAGTTTAACATGGGCTTTCAGTGAGTTCCAGGCATTTGCATGCGTTTTTGATGCGTTTGCAGATCCAGAGCAGGTAAAATAGGGCCTGCTGCAGTTTTATTACCTGCTCTGGATCTGCACGCTGCGATGTGAACTGGAGCTCAAAATACCATTGGAATACATTGGACGCAGTTTTGATCCGGTCTGCACCTGCTCTGCTCTGGATCTGCTCCGCGCTTGGTGTGAACTAGCCCTAAGGGTCGCGGGAGAACACAAACTAGCGCCCTCCCATGACCCAAAGCTCTGTATACCGCAAGTTACAGCTCGCGGTATACAGAGACGCCGCAGCCGAAGTGGATCCCGACAACTCTGTCTGGATCCACCCAGCTGCGGGATTAACAGCTGGCTCCTATCTAGAGGCAGAGCCAGCTGTGCCCGCCCCCTCCCCCGTCCGTTCCGCCAGTCAGCGCTGGAGGATCGGAGGGGGGGGGGGAATCCCTGCAGAGTGCCGTGAGGGACAGTTACGGCTCTCTGCAGGGAGATGATCAAGAAGTGAGCGAGCGCCGGTATGTGTTCGCTCACCTCCCGATCTACTGAGCCAAGCCTGTGACAGTCTCATTGTCACAGGTCGGCTCAGATTATGAGGCTTAGTGAAAAACACTCACCTCATAGTTCTCCTTTAAGCCTGTGACGCACTACGTGCAGAGCAAAGCAAAGCTGTCAGGCATGGAGCTTCGCATGTAGTGTGTGAGCTGAGCGCGGCCAGATGAAGGACTGCATTGTCAGCCAATTGGCTCCCGCGTAATAACCGAATGGCCTTCGCATCTTGGCGCGTGGGTTTATACGCGCAAGCCAATTGGCTGAAGATGACATTTTGTTAAATTATAGTAAAAAAAAAATTTTGACTATAATTTAAATAATAGAGATAAAACTAATAGATTAGATACTAATGTGGAGGCAGGGTGTCACACATATTACTATCACTATATCTCTCCCCTTCTTCTCCACTTCTCCATCACTTCTACAGTACAGAAGTGAAGGAGAAGAAGGGGAGTGATATACTGACTGATTGTCACAGCACTGTACCTGTCTGAAGGCTGCAGCTCTCCCTCTCTGTCAGATTTGATCTCACAAATCATACATAATACAATCTCAGCAATACATTATACACTGTATGTATAATATATTGCTGGGATTTGTTGTATTCCTATATAGCTGGTGGTATTCTGCATTGCGCTGTATAGAGGACTACAAATCCCAGCAATAATACATTATACAGCGCAATGCAGAATACCGCCAGCTATAATGTACTATTGCTGGGATTTGTATTCCTCTATAGCTGGTGCCATTCTGCATTCATTGCTGTATAATTTTACACTTTTCATTTCACTATATTGCACACCACACTTTTTTTTTCTTTTTTACTTCCATCGTTCCAAGCTTCCTCCTGTGATGGACTACAATCTCAATACAAACTAGTAGTCCATCACTGGAACCATTTTTTAAAATGTATTTAAAAAAAACATCAGATTAACCGATTAATCGAACATAATAGTGGGCTAACTAATCGATTTTGAAAATAATCGTTAGCTGCAGCTCTACACTGTGTGCTTCAGTATGCGCTGACCCCACTCTTTCATTCTACGTGGCCTACCACTTTGTGGCTGAGTTGCTGTTGTTCCCAGTTGCTTCCACTTTGTTATAATACAACTAACAGGTGACCGTGGAATATTTAGTAGCAAGGAAACTTCACAGATGGACTTATTGCAGAGGTGACAACCTATCACGTTACCACGCTTGAATTCACTGAGCCCCTAAGAGCGACGCATTCTTTCACAAATGTTTGTAGAAGCGTCTGCATGCCTAGGTGCTTGATTTCATACACCTGTGGCCATGGAGGCGATTGGAACACCTGAATCCAATGATTTGGAGGGCTGTCCCAATACTTTTGGCAATATAATGTATTTACTAAGAGGAAATGCTGCTACAGCGCCACCTGCTGTGTATTTAGAATAGTTCCTCCAGTTTAATCTGATTCTGTATTCTAACATCCCTTTTCAATCCAGTTGATGCCTGCTTTCTTTGCATGCAGATGATTCATGAAGCTGTCATCAATCTTGTCCTTAGTTGGACAGCAGTGTAAGCAAAGAAGTCTGTTTGCTGTCTGTTTCGACAATTGAAACTGGGGCAGAAACTGATTGAAAATCCAAAATGTTTATGGTTGTCAGGATCTGGGAAATCTTTCAATAGAGACACCTGTTGTGGTGACAATTGGATAAGGGAGGATTTACTCTATTCATACAGCTTGATAACTTTAGAGAGATTTTGTTCTTGCTTCCCAGTGTGTCAAAGGAAGAAGACAAGAAGTAAAGGAAAATCTCTTAAAACAGAAAGCAAAATTTTCATTTTTTTTAAATAATTCTCTACTCCTCATGCATGAATGGTATATACTCTGTGACTACAGCAAACAAGGATGCATGCATGATTAGAACATATTCAAATGAATATGTACTCTCCCAGACCTATGTAATATCCCTGGTTTCTTTTCTCCCCGCTGGGCGCTGTTCCAGGACGAGAGCGCTGTGAGCGGCCGGCGTCTCTCCTCTCACACCGCTCAGCCGCCTATCACAGCCCGGCAGAGCGGTGTGGGGGCGGAGACAGCGCTGTCACAGGAGGCTGGGCTTTCCTTCTCTTTTCTGTACCCTACTTTAAATATAATCACCCTGTGATCACTGTTACCCAGGTTTTCCCGAGATGCTATGTCTGCAACTAGGTCTGCATGTTTGAAATTATTACATTTAGTATAGCATACATCCTACTGTATTATCTCATGACTAATGCTGGGCACACACCTTACAACCATCGCAAGACTTTTGTCTTGCGATGGTTGTAAGGTACTTAAAAAAACGTACGATCTGCCTATCTTGGACAGGCAGATCGTACTTGCGATGATCGCAAGCCGCGCCCCCCTGAGGGGCAGGCTTCCGATGACCGCAATGCCGAACGGGCAGTGTGCGCTTGCGCACACCGGCCCGTCCGGCTTTTATCTTACGAACATGCTACACACCTGCCGAACATCGTACGATGCTCGGCGGGTTTTCGAACATGTTCGTAAGTTTAAAGTCGTGCGACCTTACAGTAGTAGAGGTCGCACGGCTTCCACACACCTTACTATAATCGTACGATCGCGGGATTTCCCGCGATTATTGTACGATTATCGTAAGGTGTGTGGGCACTCTAAGGCAAACATTGCTAGACTTTGCAAACTATGTTCAGGCTGTGCACTATTACAGCATGATTTGATTTTTTTTAAACCCAAAACTTGACATTCTCTGTCACTGAGAAATTAAAATAATGTTTTTCTAGACATGGAGTTCCAGAGAAGCTGTATCGGACAATTCTTAGTCCTCAACTTGCTTCAAAAGAATGTGAAACATGCACCTAATGATGGTACAGGATCATTTGTTCAGCTGCTCATGAGCCAGTTATTGAGCTCCACTTTGCTTTGTCTAGAAGCCATCTGTAAACATGGGGGTCTTTCCTCCTGCACTATTTTTACTGTTTAAAGCCCATTCCGTGTGCACCTTACTGTAAAGCTGGTGACAAATTGATGAGTGCGTTTGTCATCTGTTTTGCTTGCCTGTTTTGGTGCAGTGATGCATGGGGGTCTCAGCTACCATTGTGCTCCAAGATGGAGGCTCTGATAGTTTAGAGTTAGGACCGCACTATAAGGGGTGCCTT